CCATAATTATCCCCTTTGACTCAATATCCGCATCTGCATAAAAGAATTTGGGGTTCAAGTAGTACCCCGATGATGCAATGGTCTATGGAGCTGTCTATCCCATTTGTCATCTATAATCTCCCAAATTGGGGCATACTTAGCTGCATCATTGCCCAAATTCTCTGCAATCTCATTCTTAACCCCTTCCATTGCATCATATGTAAAGCTCATGGGGTGCTTATCAACATCAACCAAGCGCAAGACCTCCACCAAGGGAAGAAATAGTAATATCGCATACTTCACCCCATGGCAAAAATATTTCGAAAGAACAATATCTTGTGCCTTCTTTCCCTTGGCATCTCTAGGCCACTTACACCTACTCCACTGCTCTAAAGCAAACATAGACCTTAATGCGATCCTCCTCTTATACATGCTCTGTAGACTAAGGTAGGTAGTGGCAAATCTAGTGATCCCAGGCCTTACTAGCTCTCTCTTTTTTGTAAACTTGCTCATCATGCTAAGGGTAAGTAAGTGACTGTATATGAAGATTGTAACCTCCTTAGATTTAAAAAGAATTCCTTTAATAATATACAATTCACCAATGGTCTCAAGCATAAGATCTACGCAATGTGCAGCGCAATGAGTCCAAAATATGCGAGGCCTCTTCTGTCTAAGCAAATGACCTGCAGCTAGATTGGGAGCAGCATTTTCTGTGACCACTTGAATTACAAGTTCCTCCCCAACCTCCTCAATACCTTTATCAATGAAAGAAAATATATAATGCGCATCATGAATATCATTGGAAGTATCAATTGAACGCAAAAAACCTGTACCCATCGGACAATTTACTAACAAATTCATGGTACTCCTCTTATCACTCCACATATCTGTCATTAAAGATACCCCAAATTTAGCCCATCCCTCCTTATGGGTCTTGACATATTCATAGTATACTCGATGTCTTTCTTCAGTAGTTGCTCTCCAATCTCATAAGGAGTTGGACCCTTCAAACTTGGGCCAAATTGCTCAATGCCCAATTGCTTTCAACATTGTATGGAAGCTATTCAAGCGAGCAGTGTTAAAAGAAATGCCCGCATGGTAAAACCACCGAGCAATATACTGAATCACCCTGCCTCTATCTTCATTCTTAAATCTATTTTCAATTATCACTTGTTTTTTCCCTTTACCCCCTTGCCTTTCGCAATTACTGTCTCAGGGCTAGGTGTAAAAAACTATCTATAGGCCCTCTCATGCAAGGTTTCTTAGACTCAAAAGCCCTCTTGTTCTTAGAGCTCTGAGTACCAACCATGGCTACCTCTTCTTCCCCCTCTTCATCATCCTCTTTAGTGTCAATATTATCATAAAAACCATGGACCCCTGACTTTAATTATGTTATATCCTTTTTTTTTTTCTAATTTTTTTACTCTTTTCACCTTCAATGTATTCACAAATTTCTTTCTTTACAATATTTGGGACTTACTTACATGGTGCGACATCACCTCTAATACTGGCAAGATGTTTCTTAAATCTATTTATGTCGGCATTAGAAACATGTCCACAGAAATTGCATATAATTTTATTCCTGTCATTCACAATATTTCCATCCCGGATCTCCATCCCTACTATACCCCACAAAAGACATTTCAAATTGGAAAAATAAAACTCAAATAAAGATTATGGACTGACATTTTCTACCCAATCTTTGATATTTGATGTTGGTTACCTCAATCGAGCTACAAATCAACTCAAAAGTCTTCTAATGCCACCAATAACACCCTAAACATAATTTCAATGAGAAAAGAGAACTTTTTCAATCCACAAAAAATACTTTCAATTCTCAGAAATTACTTTAGATTCTCATAAATAAGTTTAGAGATTGAGGGTTTCTATTTTTCACTTTGGGGGGTTAAAAAATAAACCCTATAACATTTTTATACAAACTTGGGGGTCAAAATGACCCCTTTTGCCCTTTTGGGTGAATTTAACAATCGAAAAAAGCCTTACGGCTTTGGGCGCCCGCCCAGGTACAACCACCCGTAGAGGGCCACCTGGGTCGAGGCGTGCGGTTTTTTTGTTCAAGCCGTCTAGGCGGGCGGCTAGGCGTCGAGCGGACCGTTTTTTTAAACATTGCAAAAAGGTTTCCTAAAATATCAAGTTAACGTTGGCATAATTGCCATCTTTTAATTTAGGAAAGCATGGAGGAGGTGGGTGGCCATGTGGGCCTCACACCGCCCACAATATGGTGGGCCCAATGAACCAAATGGGCCCCCAATACGTTAAACATAATTTTCAGATAATAAAATAGTTTTAATAAAACCTCCAAATATTTTATTTTTCTTTCTGATTAAATTAAATCCAGGAAATTGATTTTTCTCTGTTTAAAAAATCATATTTCTATCAAATAAAAATACCTAGAGAGGTCTAAAAAATTCATTTTAATTATTTGAACAATAATTAAAACATATCTAAGAAAGTTTGATGGGAATTGGATCCATAGAGTTAGGATTACGACAAATACGTTGAGGACTCCATCCTCTTTAGAGACCGCATCTCACTGTACCGTCTCAAACTGACTCAATCGATCCCATGACCCACCACCCATTCTAGGGGTTCATGATTGAACCATCAAAGTCAACCAATAAGTGGAGAAGATATGATCCTTGACCATGGATTACAAGTCCCTCCCTGAGGATAAGTCCAGGGCCTATTTCTGCAAGATGCTCCATGGGTCCTTCCAACATAGTCCAGTGTTGTAGGGAGTCATCTCTTCTGCACATGTACACATCACACACCCTTATCTAAAGGTTGCTTCCTTGGTGGCCATCTAATGTACATGCCATGTGATGGTAATGATGAGGATTTAGGCTCTTGTCCTTTTAGGCCATCTATCACACACAAAGAACAAATCCATGTCCTCTGGTCAACTGTCCTGTGCACATCTTCGACCTCATCTAGGGATAACGCCATGTCGAAACCCTTATTGGTTGTGCTTATATGATGCCTAGGAGTACGGGTTTTGGACTTCACATTTAGTCATAGCTAGTCAAAACTCAAGTGAGTCTAAGGCATTGTTAATGTGCTATAGTCCAAGCTGGACTATACTCCTATTTGAATAATTCATTATATATATTCAGTACATGCTCTCATAAGGTCTTTAAATGGCCACAAAAACCCAACAACTACCCCTTGTATGCATGCACACATGTACATACATGTGAATGTAAGCAAACTAGGTATATCTGTGTTTGTGTACACATACACATCAAAGTATACGTGTAGCCAATGTTCAAGAAGGCGGATGCGGCCGACTAAGCAGCCAGGGGTTGGCCCTAAAGGAAGGGGGTTGGGTAGGGGCCATATGTTATTTTGTGTGTGTGTGTATGCGCATGTGTACGTATGTGTGTGCATGAGGTCTCGCATGAAATTCTTAAAGATCATCCTCTTTTTTTTTGTCTTTTGGATCTGTATTTGTGAGAGAGGTCTCGAATGCTTGGAGGATAGGGGAGAGAGAGAGAGAGAGAGAGAGAGAGAGAGAGAGAGAGTAGTGTGTAGTTCGTTTCTTTTCTTTTCTTCTTACTACTAGTAAGTAAAGAGAGACGACACGTACGTCGTACTAGTGTGTCTTGTTGTGTGTGTGAGAGAG